TTATCAAATGGAATGTGGGGGCGATACATCACCAAAGGAACCAATGCTGATGCTAAATAATATATATTTTCATGGCTGACGCACTTAATTGTGTGAGAATAAGTCCCTATAAAGACTGTCCATCTAATGATATTTTTAGCTTCGCTGTCGACTTTGTCGAGCGGAGCTTATCATACGAGCGATTGTCCGTCGGCGTCTGTGTTTTACTTTTTCAACTTCTTCTTAGAAACTATAAGTCTGAATGCTTTGATACTTGGTGTACATGTACCTTGGGTAACCCTCTTAGATTTGTTCATTTCATGATGATTATTCAATTCTCTAATTTTATGAATATTTTTGTCATTTTTGGTAAAAAGTGATATTTTCGACTTCTTGTTTAAAACCACAAGCCTGATTGGTTTGATATTACGTATATATAGGTACTACATGTAGACCTCTCTCAGATTTGTTTGTTTCGTGATGATATCTTTAATTCTCTAATTTTGGTGAATATTTTTGTCTTTTTTGGTAAAAAGTGATATTTTCGATTTCTTGTTAAAAACCGCAAATCCGATTGCTTTTTTGTTATACATATAGGTACTACAGGTAGACCTCTTTCAGATTTGATCATTTTGTGATATCGCTAATTCTCTAATTTTGATGAATAACAGTGGAGCTATCGCAGCCGAGAGGCTGCTTGTTTGACAAGCATTCACAGTATATGTTACTGGTTTGTCAATTACAAAATGATCATTGATTAATCAAATCATTTGTTTCTCCAAATTTTATTTGAAACATGATGCAAGAGAAAGTATTCAAATACCTCAGCTGTTAGAAGTCTGTGAATCTTGGCAACTATCAAATGGGCATGACAAAACAAAACTTGTTTTGGTTTACATTCATTTTGTAACCATTTCAGCTGAAGATTATTATTACATACATGTTGCAGAAAATTAGAAATAGAATTAGAATTCAACCAAGCGCAAACATTGTATAAATTTAACTTGTAGGACGAAGTGAAAGAATTGGCGCCCTCTATGGTGCAAACTTTTTTGTCCATTTGTTGTAAAGCGCCCTCTGTAGTTGCAGATGTGAACTTTAATATAATCGTGAACACCAGTGTGTTTAACCCATAGAGCACAACAATCTTGGTGCAATATTAGCATGCGCAAACTAGCCCCTATGTAACCCCCCCCCCCCCATTTAGAATTAGAATTAATTTTCGCTGAAGGAATGGTTCAGTGAAAATAAAATCCATTGAATATACCTTTTTTTCTATATTTTACATTCAACTGGACAAAAATCAGTGAAAATAAATTTCATACAAAACACCCAAAAAGTCTTTTCAGCGAAAATTAATTCCAGCTAAAATAAAGTATTTTACAGTATTATTCATAGAAGTTTCACCATAATGGATAGTTAAAGAAGAAATGCAAGTAGACTTCTATTCTAAGATTTCCTGTTTAATGAATATCAAAATATACACACTTTCTGGTACATCAAAACGTTGATAATTTTCTTAGCCCCTTAAAAAACATGTTCTCTCTAGGATGGTAGCCATGGTAACAAAAAAAATGCTTCATCACAATTACATGTATATAATAAACGTTTAATAAAAAATACAATAAAGTAATGGAGTGCAAATATATATTAAATGTTAAGTCGTGAAAGTTTTTAATAACCTGAACTAATTTACAATGATAAAAGTAAAATCACTAAAACATTTTCCAGAAAATTAATGAGTTGTTAAATGATAAACAAAACTTGTGTTAGACAAGACCACATTCACTTACAGGTAAATGACCACAGGCACCGTGCAATGGATGTATTCAGATTCTTTGAAAAACAACCAGTTTCATGTATACCATATTTGCGTTTACGTTGATGAGTGGTGTATCTATGGTAAAATTGTACTCAAGGATACAAGCAATGCAATTTTGGGGTTGAGTGAGTTTTATTAATGATGTACTTATAATAGAGCAAATACAGTAAACATGTTGGGACCCATGACGCAGTGCAACGATTGCGGACTTGAAGTTAAATTTTTGATTTTTACAGATTATACAAACATATAGGCCTGCATAAATTCAATGATAGTGACTCAATGATAGTAAATTGGCATCTATATTGTGAAGTAGTGAAGATTAATTGTTCATAAACTTTCCTTGATCCACTTAACTCTAATATTTAATACTCTCATGGTTATAATGAAAAACATGGGTATGTACACACTTTGATACGCATGGCCATCTACACAAACACAAACTGAAGTTTGTTCAATACCTTCAAGAAATGTTGTCAACGAGAGTGGAAATAATTTGTAATTTTCAAATTCTCTCAAATCCAGACTGAAACAGAATAGCTGATCCTCTCTTCTAATACCTTTAAATGTTTGATAATGGGATGGAATATGTACAAATTGTCACTCCTCAACATTGGATGGCAGTGTCTGCAGCATGTACATGTATGTTACTTCATTACAACCAATAGAACAGTTGAAATCGTAAGGTGTTTATAAGGTTTTACTAATTTATGAACGACAAAGGTCACACACAATGATACTTTTACACGACCCTTAAAGATCACACATCCTGATACTTTTACACGACCCTTAAAGGTCACACATCCTGGTACTTTTACATGACCCTTAAAGGTCACACATCCTGGTACTTTTACATGACCCTTAAAGGTCACACATTCTGATACTTTTACACGACCCTTGGTGCTTTTTGTGTATGGCAGAATTACTCAACAGTACTTCCTTAAAATTGTGTTCAAACATTTTCTAAAGAAGCCCTTATTTATATGTGTACTTAATATATATTCATAGTTTTCCCTAATTTCTGTTGTGAAAAGTGAATCAAGCAGTGCACTGGTAATTAATGTTTTTTTATAAACCTATTGCAATAACTACAAATCTTGTTATAAGGTTTTACACATAAAGGCGATATCTTAATTAAAAAAGTACATAAATGTCTACCGAAAATGTGTAATTTTTTTAAACTTATATTACTACGATATTGTTTTGTTTTTACAAGAAAATGTTCTCTGATTATACATCAGTTTCTTATTGGTTAGTAAATGTCACATGATTTGAAAGTTGACCAAATACCTTTTCCTGGTTGGTTAAAACATCTGGATATGCAGATTATGCATTTGGTCATCATGAGATTCTATCCAACCAATAGTTTCAGCTGATGTCAATATATTGATAATTGAGGCAGTTATTTATAAATATACACAGTATACAACTACCGGTAAGTTAATGCCTACATTGTAATAATTAATTCAAATGTCTAACGAGAGTTAATCATTACATATCTAATTTATGACTGAATACAACACCCTCTACAGCTCCCTCCCCTCACACAGCCTCCCACCCCAACCCACTCACTCGCCCACATCTTTAAAAAACATACCTTATCACCATGGTTTCATAAAACATTGAACATGATTAAAATATCTCTAAGATTAATTTAAAAAAAAAATACATATTACGCCAAGTAATTAAAAGATCTTGCTCATATACATCTACAAAACAACCCTTTAACTTTAAGTTCCATAAAAATGATAAAATATTGATGAAACTTATCCTGATTAAATATGCTAATTAAATACATTGATGGCAAGTCTAACAGCATTAAAGGCGAATAATCATTGGAAATGGACGATAATTGAAATGCAGCATGTTACTTATTTAATGATTTTAATATCATAGTGCCAAAACTACTTTCAATCCTCTAAACTGCTTCATTTTTGTGAGAGACACAAATTTCAATAGCCAAGTAAAACCATAATTTACTGTTAAAGTAGAAAATTTCATTTGAAAACAGGGAGTAGACATGTTATTTTATGACAGCAAGTTTTTCGCAAAACTTCGTCCTCGCAAATGTCATCAAAATAAAAAGTTTTACAGTAATGCTGGAATTTCTAGGAATGTATCTAATACCAGACAGAAAATAGATGTTACTATGGATACAGAGAAGGGAAATATTTCCTTCTCGCTTGTATGCTTTTGTTTCAACTATCTCGGTGGATTCAAACTATTATTAAACTTTTTTTTTAATTCAACATGTTTTGCTTAAGACAATAAATGTGACTGATATTGGTGTCATGTGAATTAATATACATGATTCATACAAAAATATTTCTCTTGTTTGGGTGGAACATTTCGTGACCTAGATTGTAGACAGAGAAAATACACAGATTTACAGTCGGTTTTCCTCAACTGTCTTCAACTATTGCTAATTTAAAAAAAAAAAAATACCGTACTACAATCCCACATATTCAGGTGGAACAGTGATATCATACAAGTTCAAACCAATAGAATTCAGAAAGAGTATGATATTCGAATATTCAAGTTCAAAATTGAAGTAAAAAGTATTTCAACTGTAAAAACATTCAATATGCATGTTATTTTTGATCACATGTGAAATCAAAGCAGTTTAGTGCTCTAGAGGGCGATTTTCAGCAAATTAAATTTTTAATAAAGAACATGATCATCTGCTTATTTAAATAATCAGTTAAAACAATACTTCTTGTACTCTTGTGCAGAGATTGCTTTATGTTATTTGAAATCTGTAATTTCAGAGAAGCCATCATTCAAAAATTTGAATATCATTAATTTCAAGGAAGTCCTGCAACATTTTGAATTTTGGTAGTTTCAGAGAAGTCATTCAAAATTTGGATTATCAGTAGTTTTCAGAGCAGTCATCATTCAAAATTTTCAATTTCAGTAGTTTCAGAGAAGTAATATATTTCATTTGACTGATATGCACAATTAATGATGAAGATAAAATGAGAAATAGCCACAAACTTGTGATGACATTTGACACTACGACTGACAGATACAATGCCAACTGCCACAAGTTTGGACTGGCTCTAAATTTCAGGGATTATAGATTTATTACCTACCTACACTGGTAATAGATTTAAAAAAAAAATTCATTAAAATACATCAATGAGTTGATCTTAGTGTCAGACACCATTATAATCTTGGCCGTTGAGCTAAAAAATCTGCTTTATGCATAGTCCTTGCCACTTCCACCTCTTCTTAATGCACAGCACATACATAGTGCAAATATTATGCCCAGTACCTGTAAAGACATTACACGACTTATCAGTACCTTTATTTAAAGAGAAACATGAACTATAATATGAGTGTGTTATTTATGGTATACTGTAAAATTTTTCCTATATTTACATTCAACTTGTCGAAAATCAGTGAAAATAAATTCCATACAAAACACCCAAAAAGTCTTTTCAGCAAAAATTAATTACAGCGAAAATACAGTACTACGAGTATGTTGATTAAACACGAAATAAATATATCCAAGTCATCCCTTCATATGTATACTGGGACACTAGTAAGGGAACTATACTCGCATACAAATTTGATTCATAATACAAAAAAATGTGTACAAAATTTGCTCAATTAACATGTATGAATGAACGCCATACTTTTCATTCCCCTGTTGAAATGGTTTAACACCAAAAGGGATCGTTCCCTACCCTGGATGAGTGTGCCACAGATTCAATAGGAAAGCCAATTTGGCCAAGACTCATTTACGAATGGATGTGATTTGTGGCTCCTTGGCAATAACCTCATAATACATACCTGTACAATGCCCACACCAATGCCAATACCAGCAATTAAAACATAATTCCTCTTAACCTCTGTAATCAATTTCTCCGAACAACCCTTTAAAATAAATCAATTTACAGGTGTGAGTATCAATGAAAAGATGAATTAATTCCTTCACTCAGAGCTGAATGTCATATTGACAAGCCAGTGATGTCATAGTCATGTGAATGTCATATTGACAAGCCAGTGATGTCATAGTCATGTGAATGTCATATTGACAAGCCAGTGATGTCATAGTCATGTGAATGTCATTTTGACAAGCCAGTGATGTCATAGTCATGTGAATGTCATATTGATAAGCCAGTGATGTCATAGTCATGTGAATGTCATATTGATAAGCCAGTGATGTC